ACTGCATGCAAGGAAAGCACCTTACCCGCTGTACTCTCCCTCAGCCCCCGTTTTCTCTTTGAGTAATATGCCTTTTCATCTAATTTTGTCAGAAATTTTACCCAATTGAGACAGCTTTCTCTTTGTCTCTCTTCTCTCTCTCTCTCTCTCTCTCTCTCTCTCTCTCTCTCTCTCTTTCTATCTCTCTCTAAATAAAAAACTATGGAACTTTTCAGATACACATAAAAGGAGAGAGAATGTATAGTAAACTTCCATAAACTATTACCCAGCTTCAACACTATCATTCACACTTTGCCTTTAATTTTGCACACCTTTTGGAGATAGATGGAAAAGAGGTGGAAGAATTTTGCCAGATATTTCCAGACAGTATTTCATATTATCCATAAATACTTCAAATGAATGTCCGAGTACAGAAAGAATTAAAAATGTCAGGCCAGAGAGGTAGTATAGAGGGTAAGGCACTTGCCTTGTACTCGGCTAATACAAGAATAACTTCTGAGCCTGGAGTCAGGAGTATGTACTGAGCACTTCTGGGGATCTCCACAAAACATAAGTAAATAAAATATGTAAGCACAGTACTGTGATCATACCTAAAAAACTGAACAGCAATTCTTTAACATACAGTTCAGCCCAAACTCTCCCTGTTTCTTCAGAATAAATTTCAATAACTGATTAATTTAAATAAGCCTCCAATTATGTTTACACCATGTATGTAATATGGGATTTTTAAAATTAATCTTTAAATTCAGCTATAACTCACACCTTAAATTTAAATCATATTTTGAAAAATGCCTCCCTCTCCTCCCAACAGCAGCTCCTCCTTACTGTTTATTTCATGCTATTTATTCTTTGAGAAATTTCTCAATTTCTTGTAGAATTTCTCAATTTCTGTATTTGCCTGATTAAATCTTTGAGATATTACTAGCAAGTTCTTCCTAACCCCATTTCCCCCCTTTTCTATAAATTAGTGGGTAACTAACCCCAAGAGACTTGATTGAATTCAACTTTCATCCTTGAGCCCCCCCCACCCCCTATTTTTAAATATCTAGCTTAATAACATCCCTTCCAAGAATTCTTTATTTCGCCTTCTCTGCCTTCTGTGGTTTCTTCTTCCGCAGACACTTGGAGTCTTTATTACTCCATTTGTTCCTATTTCATAAAGTGCAGAGCCCATGTTCTGATTGAGGGACCTCATGTGGCTCATCACTGCCATTCCCCCAGCCATAGCTGACACTATTAGCTGGCACAGAATATCTACTTCTGAAAATAGTTGTTGGATCTGACACCAACTCAATGGTGTGCAAATCAAATGCCAATTACCTGCTAGTTAGTATTTGCTGTCACTCACTGTGTGGTTTCTCATATTGTTACAAACCTTGATTCAGCTTCTACACTAGGAGCTTCCTGAAGGTAGGAAGGAACTCAAATGCATTCTGGAGGGCTAGATAGCTGGTACAAGGCCATGTTTACAAATCGTGTATATTCAACGCATGCCAAAATAAGGATCTTACTTGGCTTTCCTTGCTTTTTTTTTTTTAGCTCAATTAACACATGACAAATACATTTTAGAAAGAAAAATGTTGACATAAATATAGATCATATTATTAATGCCAATTATAATTTCTATTTACTGCTGCTGAGTTTTTTGGGGTTTTTTTTGCCTTTTGGGTCACACCTCGCAATGTTCAGGGGTTACTCCTGACTCTGCACTCAGGAATTCCTCCTGGCAGTGCTCAGGGGACCATATGGGTTGCTGTGAATCAAACCCTGGTTGTCTGCATGCAAGGCAAAGACCCTACCCACTGTGCTATTGTTCCAGCCCTATTGCTGTTGAGTTTTTAATAGGTCAAGTCCTCAATGAAATGTCTGATGCTATTAACTTTATTATCCTTTTTAAAAGAAGATACATCCTCTTGTGCGATTCAACTCATTAATGAAAATTGGTTATCGGGGCAACCTATTACCAGGCCAGCTTTTTGTTATGTGAGTTAATGGTATGACAATCTATGGAAAATTATATTTTTAAAGGAGTGAAGGATTTTGAAGGAGATTACTCATAGCTCTTTGGGTTGCGAGAGGCAGGAGCCTAAACCAGAATGGTTCTAGCTAAGAGAAAAATAGTTATTTGGCTTCACATATCTTGAAAGTCCAAGTATATTTGACTTCAGCCAGGGTTGGAACAAAAACAAAATAATGTTATCATATTTCTGTTTCTCCAATTTACATATTTCTCCTCTGATTTTGTTCCTTCTCATTTTTTATCAGTTTCCTATGTTACCTGGATCTAGGGTTTTTCTGTTCAGCATCACACATGTTGCACCTATGTTACCAATAAACCTGAATCTAGGGGTTTTCTATTCAGCCCTAAACCAGAATTTTCCCAAGTTGCCCTCATAGAGAAGTCCCGGGGAGCTTGTTAGGTGCTGTGTTTCTGCCTCAAAGAAGCACTGTGGTTAAAGGTATACTTACCCATTCCCACTGGGATTAAAAATGTCTCATGTAATGGAAGACAAGTTTTTCTGAACCAAGGGTGGAATGATACTGGAAGAAATGTACTAGGAGAAAGTTAGACAAGTGTGTTGTACAGGGTGACCTCTGCTCAGAGCTCTATAGCCATGGGGTGCAGTAGTGGAAGATTAGTTCAGGGTGTTACAGGCTCTTAGTTTTTGATGCCAATTTTGGAAGGTGGGTGCTGAGGCTGGGGCGAGGGGGCAGAGGATGATTTGCTCCCAGATATTTTGGGCCAGTTGGGCTAGATAGGTCAGTACTTGGGCCCAGCAATGCTCTGGGCCACTAAGGCACCCCTGGCAGTGTTGGAGGATACCAAGGCCACACTTGGCAGTATTCTGGGGTCCTGTAGACCAAACCTTTGATGTCTGATTCCTTAAGTGTACCAGGTTTGATAGAATGAATGCTATAACGGAGGTTTCACTACAGTACCAAAGACAGTATTTATAGATGACAGTCTTCACATGAAGTCCTTGATAACCACTATAGGGTGAATAGGCCAAGATTATGCATAAATTTTGTTTATATGCACACTTTTACCATCACTTTCTTCAGATTAAATAATTTCTTGTGAATCAAAAGATGAAAAGGATTTGGTTTTTACTTAATAGGGGCACCCCTTATTTTTGGACAAGAATATTTGTTGTGCAAATTGTGTAAGACGTATAACATTTAACTTTCAGTAATGCTCTTTAAATGGTTGTACTAAGAGTCAGAATGAAGATGAAATTAGGAGTCTACTTTGCCAGCTCCCCTCTCATTTTACCCTTCAAAACAGTCTTTGAAGAATCTGGACCTCACATTTTTTTAGGGGGGGCGGTGAGGTGGGCGTAACACCTGGTGATGGTCATGGCTTATTCCTGGCTCTGCAGTCAGGAATCACTCTTGGTATGTGGTACCAGAGATCAAACCCCACCAAGCACCTTACCCTCTTTACTATGGCTGAGAACATGAATCTCACATTTTGTTGTATAAGAAGCTCACTATTTCTCAGAAGTGTTCAGATACTTTGCCCTATTTTAATGGTGAGGGATGTCAAAGTGGTTAAGATTTGATGTGCCATTTTGGTAATAGTCACCCTATGTAACACTATGCACCCCCTTCACAGTCCCCAGATCTCCTTAAAATCTTCCATTCTAAAATCATCTCTTTCACTGGAGATCTGAGAAATGAAAATATTTCATCATGAGGCAAAACTTGCAAATGAGCAATTCTTGGAAGGCCAATCCATGCACCTAACCCCTTAGCATTTTCTCCTAGGATGATCATTTAGTTTATTTCTCAGAGAACAAATTCACAGAAGAAATGTTACTCTGAAAGGATTATCTTCAATCTGATAAAGGAATGACCATCAATCACAGTTTTATAGGTTACAAATCGCTTTCTCTTGTGTTTGACCTTGCACATTCTCGGAAACAATTTTGTCAATGAAGAAAATTGTGACTTCTAGGAATCAAGAGACAAATCCCAGATCACACAGGGCTGTAAAGAAGGATTTGGGATTGTCAGTCTGGATCTATTTATCTTTAAACACCACCCTTTCTCCTCCAAGGCCTCTCCATACCTCCAGGCAGAAGGGAAGGGAAGTACCTTACTGGAATTATTTAGAGGGAAGAACCTAAAGTTTAAAGGAGCCACCGTCTAGCCTAAAGCTCCTGAGGCGGGTAGGGGGTTGACACTTATATCAATTATATCCTCCAACAACTTGGCTGATGAAATGTTATGACTGTCTTGTTTGAATTTCAGCCAGCGGAGGAATTAAAAGCAGGCAGTAACCACGTTGTTTTGTAACTCTGTTCCTTTTAAAATTAACCGAACCTTTTAAGTGCTGCTTTAGAGTGAAGTGCCTAATTGGAAAAGGACCACTCATCGAGATGAATGGTGTTATAAAAGTCCAAACTTGGGTTAGAGAAAACGAATGCCCAAGAACACTTTCTACAGTACTGTTCTAATTACAAAGCGAAGGAAAAGTGCCTATATTTCGTTCCAATTCGGGAACAAGTTGATATGTGTAGCCCCGCCGGGAAGTAGGCAGACGGCGAGGAAGGATTTTTTTTTTTTTTTTTAAATTAAGGCAGGCTTTTGAAGGCTCAAACTTTCTAATGTCAAGCCCCATCGCTGTTATTTTGCTTCCAAAGGACGTGGCATGCCTTCGCAAAGGTCCGAGTCGGGAGGAGGGGTGAGAGTAAGCGAGCAGGACGGAGCCCGTTCTTATTCATATTAAAGAGCCGAGTCTGTACCCTTGAAGCGAGCGGGGAGAGAGCGGGCGGGGAGCTGCTGACATTGACAATGAATGCAAACAGGAGTAGCACTAGCTGGGTCCACCACGTTGCTGCTGCTCCCGCGTGGCCTTCTGGGAGCTGTAGTTCCTCCGAGAGCCGCTCCACGGGCGGACCGCGCGCCTCGCGCCCCGGGCGAACTACAGCTCCCAGGCTGCGCTGGGCCGCGGGCCCCTCCCGCTCGGGGGCGAGTGTAAACTCCCCGCGCCGGGGCCGGCTGCCGCGCGCGGACCGGCGGGCTGAGCTTGGCCACTCGGCGGGGGCGCACGACTGCGGGGGACCCGGACCCGACCGCGGGCCCTGTTCGCACTTCCGAGCCGTGGGAGCACGGGGCGCGGGAGCCATGCAGTCGGAGTCGGGCATCGTGCCGGATTTCGAAGTCGGGGAGGAGTTTCACGAAGAGCCCAAAACCTATTACGAACTCAAAAGTCAGCCCCTGAAGAGCAGGTGAGTGATGACAGCTGGCGGGGGGCGCGGCGGGCGCCCCGAGGGGCCCCGCGCCCCCTCCCCTGGGGCGGGGAGGGCTGTCGCGAGGGCTCGGGGGACAAGGACCCCGTGCCCTTGCCCCGGGCGGCGGGCGAAACTGACCCCCGCGGCTGGGGTGCGCGCGCGCCTGGCCCGAGCGCCCGGGGAGGACAAACGCTGGGGAGCACTTTGGGGGCGCAGCAGGCCCCCGGGAGGCGCGCCCAGGCGGGGGGGACCCGGGGCTCGGTACCAGCTGCTGAGCCCGGGTGGGGGCTGGGGAGCGACCCGGCGCGAGGTGGGGGAGGAGGCGCTCCGGGCCGGGCCGGGCCAGAGAGTTGGTCGTGCAGCCCGTTTCGGAAGATCCTAACGGGCCGGGGACTTGGACCGGGAGCGCCCGGAGTCGCCGGCACGCGAGGTTCGAGGGCAGCAATTAGCCGGTCGGTGCCCGCCGGCAGGGTCCAGCCCCTCCGGGCAGACCCGCCCCTGCCCGCCCGCAGGTGAGGCTTCCCCGCATCCCGCCCCTTCACCTTCCCCACGGCGGCTCCGGGCACTGCGGGGCCGGGAGGGGCGGCGCGGGGGGCGTGACTTCTCGGGCCGCTCGAGTCCCATTCAAACCCGGGCCCGCGCTGGACAGCCACGCGTCTCTAAATCGCCGGGCGTTTCCAGAACTCCTTTTCCTTTTAGGACAGGCGTGGGGACACCCGTGGGCCGAGCGCCCGCCTCCTGTACTGCCTTCAGTTCCCCTTCTGATCTGTCGAAGGGGTGGCCGGTCTCCCTGTACTCCACCCGGGGGCCATCCTGGACCTTTCCATTGTTTACTAAAGGGCGGGATGGGGCGGAGCCTGGGTCACTCCCCCCACACACACTCAGCTCTGAGATAAGATAGAGGGTACCTGGGAACCGGCGCAGCACGTCTGCACTGGCTCAACCTTCCTGCCTGGGTGCACGGGCCTGACCAATGCAGGAGGAGCGGGAGTAGAGAGTTGGGAGGTGAAAAGAGGGCGGGCGGTGGTGGGATCTCTGCCTCTGGGATGCCTGGGCGTGGAACTTGCTCTGGTGGCAGATAAAACCAGGGTTGTTCCTTCAGGCCGTGTCGGAATTCTGACTCAAAGTTGGGGGAAGAATCCGGGACAGCACAGCCTCCAAGAGGGCGGCCGAAGCAGCCTCTTTGCAGATGCTTAAAGTAGAGTTTGGAAGGAAACGTTCATTGCAATTGGACTCATAAAACCAGCCTTGAGTTGGTGATTTCTCATCATAATGGCTGTTTTGTGTGTGAGCATAGATTGTGTGTGTTGGGGTTGGAGGTTTGAGTAATATTGTGTAAAGGGTATTGTTGGTTCTGCTCATTGGGGCTTTATCTGCATTTGGCTGAAGGGACTAGTGTTTTAGCAAGCAGTCTCTGCTTTTGCCTCTATAAGCAAATGCTTGCATGGACAGAGAGAGAGAGAGAGAGAGAGAGAGAGAGAGAGAGAGAGAGAGAGAGAGAGAGATTGTGTGGTCGTGAAAGAAATGAATTAACTGGACTGTTTGGAACATTTTTTGATGGTAGCTGATACATAACTTTAAATGAGTTTGAGAGAGTGAAGAAAATACCATCTGGAAAAACCCAAGTGAATGCCATGAAACTCATGTTGAAGGGTTTGGGCCTGTTCTTTTTCAGAGTCGGCAAAATTTTACTTGCAAGGGTGAGCATCCTCCAGAGCTCGCTAGCACGTGAAAGGAAAAATGTGGGTATGTGGGAAGAAATGGCTTCACACGTTGAAGCTAGAAACAGGTGCGGGACAGAACCGGTATGTAGAGGAAGGCTAAATTAAAAAAGTTGTCGTAAAACTTGTCTGTGGAAAAGACACATGCTTTTGAAATAAACCAGTTAAATAAAATCTGTGAATAAATATATGGGGTTGGCACAATTCTCCTATACTGTTTTCCACAGTTGTCTACCGCATTGTCATCGACATCTGTTGTGTGACTTTAAGAGGACTACACATTGTTCAAGGCCTCCTTGTCGCTTTTTGTCTTAAGTTTTTGCCAGGGCACCTCACTTTTTGTAAGTCTTGGTCAGAACAAGTTGAAATGGTTAGGTTTTAAGATTATTTCAGATTATAACAATTTTATCTATCAGTTGTTTTCTCAGAATCATATCTTGGAGTCAAAAATATATCCAAACCCTCACCAGCACTCATCTGGGTAATGGCAGTAGTTTCTTTCTTTCTTTCTTTCTTTCTTTCTTTCTTTCTTTCTTTCTTTTTCTTTTTGGGTCACACCCGGCGATGCACAGGGGTTACTCCTGGCTCGGCACTCAGGAGTTACTCCTGGTGGTGCTCAGCGGACCATATGGGATGCTGGGAATTGAACCCTGGTCCACCGCATGCAAGGCAAATGTCCTACCCGCTATGCCTTCACTCCAGCCCCAGGCAGTAGTTTCTTGAGGGTCTCCTGCTTTTAGTGGATTTTCAATCCAGTAGCCACAGTGTTCCTATTAAAAGTGGTTCTCTACCATTGGTTGTTGGTGGTGCTGGAGTGGGTGGTAATGAGCGGTGGTGGTGAGTCTCCAGGAGTTGTTTGTCACTGGCTAAAGACATTTTTGGTTGTCGTACTGGAAGAAGATGGTTCCTGGCTTATAGTAAAGGCCAATGACGCTTCTCAGTATTCTGCCATGTCCAGGACAACCTCCTGACTGAAGAGAAGAGCAAGCTGGTCCCAAATTGTTAATGGCACCAAGATTGAGAAATCTGTTGTTAAAATGTGTCATATCATTGCTGTTTTCAAAGGCGATCCCTTAATGGCTCCTAGTTTCGATAGTAAAACTCAAGATCCTTAAGATGGTGCAAGGCTGCCTTGTCTATGATCAGGTTCCCTGCCAATCCTCAGTTAATCTCTCTTAGTTCCTTCTGCTGCTGCCGGGCCTTTGCTTCACTGTTGAGTAACACTCTAGACTCACCCATGTCAGGGCCTCTGTCCCTTGTACTTGCAGCTTGCTATGCTTCTGTGCTTAGTGGCGGAGTGAGGTGCTTGCCCCCCCAGCTCCACGCCTTCCTTAACACGTCCCTTCTCTGGAAGTAAGTCTACCCCCACTGCACAGTTTACAGTTGCTTTCACTCCAGCCTCATCTTCTCTGCCCTATTCTATTTCCCCCCACGATAGTCTACTGCATAATTTTCCAAAATGTTATATATATTATATGTCACTGTCACTGTCCTCGCATTGCTCATCAATTTGCTTGAGCGGGACCAGTAGCATTGTGAGACTTGTTTTTACTGTGTTTGGCATATCGAATCCGTCACGGGGAGCTTACCAAGCTTTCCCGTGTGGGCGAGACACTTTCAGTAGCGTGCCGAGGTCTCCAAGGGGAGCGGAGGAATCAAAGGTGGAGGAATCAAACTCGGGTCAGCCGGCTTGGTTGGGTGCAAGGCAAACGCCCTACCCGCTGTGCTATCACTCCAGCCCATATATTATACATGTTTCACTTTTCTCTCACTCTAGACTAGAACGTCCTAGTGAACAGGACTTTCTGTCTCTCCCTTGTTTTACTTTTGTGTCCTCGGAGTCCTAGAATAGTTTCTCAACTATAAGTACTACTGAAATTTTGAGCTGGATGATTGTTGTCGGGGCAGTCCTGGGCATTGTAGAATATTCAGTAGTAGCCCTAGCTTGACCTACCTGAAGCGTCCTTCCAGCGGTGACAGCCCAGAATGTCCCCAGACCCTTCCAAATGTCCTCTATTTCAGAATAGTGCCTGGCATGATTAGGACTTGTTTGATATGTTACTTCCTTTGCTAGTTACTTATCCTTTCCCAGGTTAAGTAACCAGGCATTTGGTTTTCTTTGTGGGGGTCGATGAACTGGGGTTTTATGAACTTCGTTTTGGTTATAACTGTTGGGCAAAGCTACGATATAGGAAGACATGTTCTAAGAAAAAATGACAATGAAGGACTTTTTGCAGTTTGGTGCCCCCAATATGCTTTTTGGAACCTTTCTGTTTTGGAGGCAGAGGGGATGGCACACCTGGCCATGCTTAGGGCTTGCTCCTTGCCAAGGTTCATGCCTGGCTGAGCTCAGGGCTAGTGGGGATTTAACTCGGGTTGACTGCGTGCAAGACAAGCTCCCTGGCCTCTGTACAATCCTTGAAACCTTTCTTTTTATTCTTGAGGATGAGCTCTGAATGGTGAGTGTTGAGTAAAAGTGCTATGCTAAGGGTAAATCAAGATTCCCAGGACAAAGCCATAGCAGGGAAACAAATGTGCAACTGGCGAATGAGTTCCCAAGAGTGGAGGAATTGTCTGGAGGCCTTTGGGGCCTGAGATAAATCAAACGTTTTAAAGCACAGTGGCATTGCTCAGGTTCCTAATCCTTTGGTATGGTTTATTTAGTGCCAGATTATGTGGGTTTGTTTTTACTAATGCCCTTCTCTTGAACTTCAGTATTGGCTGAATCTAATTCCAGCTTCTTCTCTTCATAGATTTTCAGTAATGCTTTAGACAACTGTTATTTAACTTCTTGCAAGTTAGAAACGGGAATAGAAGAATTAGGTTCATAATAGCAAGGCAGGATGTATCAGTGGTTCCCAAAAGCTGCTCTTAGTTTTTGCAGGTTTGTGATGAAATGAGAAGACAGAGGCCATTGGGTCAGATACATTCGTGCACATGTATTTTGTTTAAGACCACTGCCATTTCTTGGGTTTATTTGGAGATTTCCCCCTCCTGTCTTCATAGTGAAAACGTCTTTTTAAAGCTAGAAAGATAGTATATCTGTTTGGACGCTTGCATGTGGCCAACCTGGGTTCAACCAGATGTGGCCCCCAAACAAAACAAAATAAAAAAGTTTTCTTTCTTTTTAAGATACTCATCCAAACTTGGCAACACATAAGTGCCTCTTTTTATTGTTGTTTATGAAAGTTATCTTGGTTTTTCTGGCTTGGCCACTCTCTGGAGGACTGCGGACATGGAGGCAGTTGTTCCACCTTCCCTTTTTATTCCTAATTA